CCAGTCAATACTCCCCCCACCCCCGATTCCCTGCTCCTCCAACTCTATCCACCCCTTTCTGCTCACTTTGCTCCCCACTCCCTGTCTGGACTAGTGTGTACTCTTTCTGGCCCTCAACCAAACCAGCTTCTTCCCAGGACTGCAAGGGACCACAGCATGCCCCGGCTCAAATCACCACGGTTTGCAATCACCTGGCCAAGGCGCTCAGCTCCTGGGCATGGCTGACAGTGGCCTCCACATTTGGTCCCTACCTGTCACTCAGCCTCACCATCTACTTCCCCTGTGAACTTCACTCTGGCAATACTTCCCTGGTTCTGACACATCGCAGCCATGCAGTTTCTGAGCCTGTGCAGGACAAACAAACTCCACAAGGACAGGGATCTGTTTACAGTGACCTCTAGGACAGATGATGGCTGACACTCGGGCAGGCTCCATAAATATGGGTTTCATGAATGATGACATCTTCCTTACCCGCAGATCTCCCAGCCATCCTACAGGCTTCTGGGTCTAAGGCCCCCTGTGGACCTGGGTCCCTCTGTCCTCTGCTCCTGCTGGACCCCATCATAACAATCATCCTCTTGTGTACTTAGAAAAGCAGGAAATCTGATGGTCTATTTGTTCTTTCCTCCTGCTCAAAAAAAGCATCTTTAAAAGCAGGGTATGAGCTTTTACATTTCTGTATCAGGCACAGTAAAATTTTTGGCTTTTTGTTGTGGTGTTTGTTTTGATCTGATTTTTTTTGAAATAAATTTCCTTTTTCTTTTTTGAGACAGAGTCTTATTCTGTGCCTAGAGTAGAGTGCTATGGCATCACCGCTCACAGCAACCTCAAACTCTTGGGCTTTAGCAATCCTCTTGCCTCAGCCTCCCGAGTAGCTGGGACTACAGGTATGGCCCTGCTAGTTTTTCCTATTTTTGGTAGAGATGGGTTCTCACTCTTGCTCAGGCTGGCCTGGAACTGGTGAGCTCAACCAATCCACTTGCCTTGGTCTCCCAGAGTGCTAGCATTACATGTGAGCCACCGCACCCAGCCTGAAATAAACTTCTTAAAAACTGAAGTACAACTCCTACAAAAGCAAGGGGATAGCTCAGTGTATTCTGGCAAAGTCGGCGAGCCTAGAAAGCTGCCTGCCACGTCCCCAGACAGATCACCAATGGCTTAAGCACTCATACCTTCCTTCCCACGGGCTCCACCTCCCCCCACACTCCAATCCTCATACTTTGACTCTAACAGCAAGGATTATTTTTAACTGTTTTTGAACTGTACAACAGAGTCATATTCTTTTGTGCTTCTGATTCATCCAATTTCAAAGTAGATCCTAGCACAGAAATGCCTCTAAGAACACTGTAGGTTTCACCTATCAGGGCCACCCCTTCCCCACAGAAAACCATGGGCTCAAGTCAGTGCAAAGGCTGTTTTGCAGGCTGTAACATGAGGGAGCCCCTCTCAGCAGCCTCGGTTCGCTCAGGTCTGGCCTGGAACCACAGTGGCAAGAGTGTGGGTGCTCATCACTAACAGGCTTCTCACTGGCCTTAGCTATGGTCACACTGGGACAAATGCCAGAGGCACAAGCTCTGGGGCAGGTCACGTCTGGAGATACCCAGGGGGGTGGTGGGCAACCAGCAGGTGTGCCCCTGAACAAGCCCTCCCGAAGAGACAATCAGGTTATAAACAGTACTGGAACTTTGGGGACCTAAGTTAACTATGGAAAAGAGAATTAACCTTTGGGGCTTTGGAAGGCTCCAGCTGGTATCAAAAAGTGGTAACAAAAAACTGTTCTTCAGCAGCTTGAAGGAAAATCTTTGAAAAATACCTCCCTGAGAGCAGCTTCCCAGTCTCAAAAGGTGTAACGTAGTGCTTTTACAACAACGAACGGCAGGATTTTCTAAGGCGGGTTGCAATTTCAAGGCCAGACTATAGCCCACGACCATTCACTGTAGAGCTCAGAGCTGAGCCATCCGGGCCTTCAAAACACCAGCATGATCCTGCCGGCAGAACAGTTCTGACAGTCTGCTCCTTGTTATCTGTGGGGAAGTTCTCTTGGACTATTCATGATCGTTACGTTGAATATGAGAGGAGATTGGCATATGTTTTGTGCGTGTGAAAACAAGGGCTTGTACCGCTTTGTTCAGTTACAAATTATTGGAGAAAACGAAGGAAGGTGAATATTTTCCTTGGAGGGAGGTCTTTTTTGTCAAAGTTACTCCTTTCTTCCACAGTATTCTTACAAATTATGGTAGTGACAAAATTTAGCTCACTATCAACTTGAGCACAGCAAATGGACACAGGAAAGCAGAAGACACTACACAGCTGTGGTTATCTGCAACTGGAGATGTAAACACACACATAGAACACTATCACTTTGCCAGGGCGGTCTGGTACCATTTTATTCCAAACCAGGGATCTGCCACAGAGATCTTACCATGGATTTAGGAAGTATCTAGACTCCCACAGTGGTAAAAATCACAAATGTGCATGACACTGTAAGTTGTTACTAGAAGGTCAATGTGAGTGGTCTCCTTTTTGATGTTATTTTCACTAATACGTGGCAGATAATTTCTGCTGGCTGCACAACTGGTCTAAAATTATACCATAATTCTGACGGTACGCTGAGAAAAATAATAAATAGGAAGCCAAGAACACTTTGGCTCCCATCTTTTTAGCAAAGAAACCAGTGGGTGGCAGGAAGGGCTACAGAAAGTTTTCTCACATGCCTTCTTGAGAATGGTGCCACGTCTACAAATTTTGTACATGAGACAGATTATGGAGAAAGAAGCCACTCATGAGGGTAAGTTCCTATCCAGGAACCTTTCTATTTGAGACTCCTAAGACAGGCAATGGGAAACTCATGCTAACAAGGTCCCTCCTTGCTCAACAAAAGCAGGTCCTCAGGTAAGCATGATTAATACACCAAAATAAAAAAAAAAAAAAGACACATTAAAGATGGAGGCACTCCTGCCTGGTAAAGGGGACACTCATCTCCAAGGGCCTTTGGGCTATGAAAAGCAACTGCTATTAATAAATAGGGGTGCTCACAAGGTAATTTTATCTTTATTTTTACATTATATAATGCTTACTACAAACGTTTCCAAGAACCCTGTGCTTGAATTGAGACCAAAGCTTCCAGCAGAGCTGTTGCCTTACAGAAGAGGATCAGATTGCCTTAACGCAGCCCTAGAGGGCACAGTAAGAGCCAAGGGAGGAAGTTAAAGAAATGTAAAAGTCTGATTCTATTTAAGGAAGAGCTTTCTAACAATCTGTGTTCTCCAAAAATGGAATTGGCCGACTGTGGAAGTCGACATGTCCCAGAAGTGTTCCAGCAGAGGGAGAGGCCCATCTGTCAGGGACAGGACGGGGTGGCAGGCCCAGCACCTGGGAGTACGTGAGTTCCCCGAACTGATTGCCACTCGAGACGGAACTAAACACACCAGGTGGAAGATACAGTTCATAGCTTCAGTGTGTGGCTTTGTCTCTTTCCCTTCTATAAAACTGAAGAAGAAAAATGACAAGTTATTCTAGGGAATTTCCAGATAACCCAGAGTGCTTACTTTGCCTTATTCTATTTCCCAATTTCTGGGCATTTCATTCTTTACAAGAATCTTGAGAATATAAAACAAACAAACAAAAAAGACAAGACAAGTCAACAAGGTTTAATATCACTCAAAAGTAGGTCCTTTGATGAGAGCTGAAATTTGAAAAATAAACAAAATTAAGCTCAGAGCAAAGTATCTATCTATTCAATCTTTTTTTTTTTTTAACCCACAGTTAATTAAGAGTTCTAAACATACGACACAGTGTTTCTTTCAAGTGACATGCTTATGAGGACAAAAAGATAAAAGGGATAAGAGTTTAGTGAAGAAAAGACCATATGACTAATGAAAAATGGAATTTCTCCATCAGGCCCCAAATCCATGATAGCCAGTGACCTGGTATGATTCATACAAAGTCCTGTGTCCCATTTCTCTCTCTAAATCATGGGAATAACCTGACCCATAACACAAAAATGCTATCCAATAAATGAAAACTTTAAGTGATTTTGAAGAGAGAGTTTAGACTTCTCAAGATTGCATACAAGATGAACATTTTGTAACACCTACCACATATGGTATATACCTGCCAGTTTTCCCATGTATTCCTTACCCTCTCCCCTAAAATAATTCTCTAATAAATTCTCTTATTAGAAATTTTTTTAAAACCCTAAGTAAATTGCACTCCAGGCAATAATACTAACTTCACAGCAAACCCTTAAGTGATAATCTGCAGCCTTGGGTGCAAACATCATGTTCTGAAGGAGGAAATAACAATTTATAAAGTGTCAGCTTGAAATAGTCATTCTTCAAAAAAGCCCTGATGATTTATTTTCTCAGATAATCTGCAGCAGTAACTACTACAAGTAAATCCAGTATGCACAGAGGCAAGACTGGACACTGCTAGGTTCCCATAACTCAAGGGGGTACTTCCCATGTGCTGACACCGGGAACAAAAGGGGCCCTCAGGGGCAGAGCCCAGCCACGATCTACAGTTGGGTAACCTTTGGGAGGCCTCCGAGATCACATAGCTGCCCCCTTAGCTAACAGTGTCCATTTCAGAGAGGGGGAAAAATGCTTTTGTTGTTTCCTTCTCTATGCACAAAAATCAAAAGGACAGGATTTTCTAAGACAGAAATGATGCGATGACATGACATCAGCTGACCCAGGCTGTTTTTGGAGGTGGCCATGCCACTTCAGCAGCCTGTAAAATTTTTGCATAAGGAGACAGGCACCTATGCAGGGGTCCAAAGCACACAGAATTGTCCCCTGCCATAAGACACTCCCCCCAAAATCAGACCCTCTGAAATCTCCAGGAAATGGCAAACATCTCATTGCTCCACTGTGATCTCTTAATTCTCAGAGATTTTTAAAACAGGAAGACATCAACATTTAAAATGCACTTTTTTTATTTTTAAAGCAAACAAACTAGAAAGATGAAGCACCTCTCCCTGCCGTGGGCGGGACACTCACCGAGCGTGTCCTTCAGGTTCTTCACCAGGGAGCCCTTCTTCAGGCTGTTCTTCCGCTCCACGTAGTTGGACGGCACGTAGCCCGTCCTGTTGGCCGCGTTCCTCACCCGCCACCACGTCTTGGAGTCGTCCAGCAACCACAGGCGCTCGTTCTTCTTGATATCCAGTTCCTGGTCCTGCTGGGCGGTGTAGTCCCACTTGGCTATCACAATAACTTCTTCTGTCATCTTTCATGGAGTCCTTCTGCCAGCCAAACATTTGGAGATGCTCATTAGAAAACCACGCGAACACATCACCCTTTGCAGCAACTTGAAAAATTAGGCATTGACAGCATTTATTACAACCCTGCTGCTAGTTTTCTCTCAGCTCTTAAAAGGCTCAACCTTATAATGACCTTCTTTCAACAAGCTTTAGTATTCTGTTTAGAAACGGGAATCGTATAAAACAAATGTCACCGCTCCTTGTGCCCTGGGAATGCTGCCCGCTCTATCAAAAACAAAAACAAGCTTACAAAAAATTCTAAACGATATTGTAATTAAATGTGTTCATTTGGTGAAGTAATACCGGCTCCTGACTGCTGACAGGTATACATTCATTTTCTCAGAATATGCCAAGTTTTGTGAGCATATTTAATAAATAACAACATACCCAAACTACTCCTACAAATTAAAATTTAAAATTAACATAGTCCTAATGCAAGATGGTATCCTGGACTGGATCATGAAACAGAAAGAGGAAATTTGTAGAGATACTGGTAAAATCCAAGTAAAGGCTAGTTATAATAACATGCCAACGTTAATCTCTTGGTTTGAACAATGCCCCAGTAAGATGTTATTATACTCATGTAAGAGGCTAACCTTAGAGAAAATTGGGGAAAGAATATAAAGGAATGTGTTCTACTATTTTCTGTAAACATATAATTATTCTTGAAAGTTCTAATTACACAAAAATCTGCACATGGATGTATATGCAGCTTTATTCATAACTGCCGCAACCTGGAAGGTGAATGGATAAACTAACTGTGGTATATCCAGATAATGAAATATTACTCAGCAGTAAACAGAAATGACATATCAAGGTATGAAAAGACATGGAGGAACCGTAAATGCATAAAACCAAGTGAAAGAAGCCAGTCTGAATGTATTGTAAGATTCTGACCAAGAGTCTGTCCTTGACCAAACTTGAGTTAGGCTCCTCTAACTCCTCTTGCCACATAGGCCTTGCATTTTGAACTACAGTAGCTATCTTTGCATTGCCCAATCTTTGCAAGGATCCTGCTGAGTTGGTCTAACCAGAATCCTCCACCCACAGCATCTGTGGTGGTTCCTCATCCTCCACCATCCCTCCACCAAACCTCATCACCTGGTTTGCGCCTTCAGCAAGAATCCTGTTGGGTAAGTTCAGCCAGGATCCTTCTTACCCCTGATGTTTCCTCTTAGTAATTTTCCACCCACCAACCTCTTCACCCTTCTCCTTAGCTATAAATTCTCCCTTTTCTCTGTTGTATCCAGAGTTGAACCAAATCCCTTTCCTGTCTACTGAAAAACTCCATTGTAGTAGTCCCTCTAAATAAAGTCTGCCTTACTGTTCTTTAACAAGTGTCATGAATAATCTTTCCTTTAATAATGTCAACCATATGACATTGTGGAAAGGAAAATCTGTGGAGACAGTAAGGAGACCAGTGGTTGCCAGGGGAAAGGGATAAGAAGGGTTGGTTTGGTTGAACAGGCAAAGCACAGAGAAATTTTAGGGTGGTGATATTCAATACCATAATGGTGGACATCTGTCTTTATACATCTGTCAATACCTATAAAATACACAACATCAAAATGAACATAATATAAAAATTGCAGGCAGTCCCTGAGTTACAAACATCCAACTGATGTACAACTTGCACTTTTGAATGGAGGCTATTACAAGTAATAGGTAAACACACCTGTTCCCACTTAGAGAAATTTTAACTTAAGAACAAACCTATAGAACCTATCATGTTCATAACCCAGGGACTGCCTATATTCCAAAATAAAATGCTTATTAAAACAATAAAAAATACATTCTACTGTATATCTAACAAAGTCTATTTTGGAAGTAATATTAAGTTGCAAAAGTATACCTGAATAAAACGAATATAGTTATCAACCATGGATAACAGAAGATGGCTCAGTGTTCTTTTAGCTGAAAAATTCTGTATTCAGTCCTTCAACTAATTGGACACTTCCCCAAAACTAGGAAGAAAAAAATATGAAAAGATCTTTGACTAAAACTCCTTCCCTCTCCGAAAGAAAAACATTCTCAACACTTTATGGGGATGGCTTCAAAATTACAGCGGGGACCTAGGCACACTGACTCCAGGGAAGCACGAATACTATTTTTTGATACAATATCCAAGAAGACAAGTTTAACCAAAGCTTGTTTCAAAACTGGGACAATTTTGTCATTCACTTTCAGTAAAGTCTCAAGTCCATACCATGGAGAGCTCACTAACCTGACCTCTAACCTTTATGTCAGATTAGACTTTCAAAAGTCATAAAGGCAAGTTTTCTTTTTAAAATAACAAAAAGGAGCAAAAGCAATAACAACAAGGGGGCTTATAGTATATTCCATTTAAATACCATGCTTGTTTTTTAATTATACAATTTCCACAAGGCTTTAATAAGAACAGCCCATTACTTAAGAACAATCAAGATATGGCCAATCGGCTCAGCACATGTAGCCCAGTGGTTAGGGCGCTGGCCACATACCCTGAGGCAGGCAGTTTGAACCCAGCCCAGGCCTACTAAACAATGACAACTGCAATAAAAAAAAATAGCCTGGGGTTGTGGCAGGTGCCTGGAGTCCCAGCTACTAGCTACTTGGGAGGCTGAAGCAAAAGAATCGCTTAAGCCCAAGAGTTAGAGGTTGCTGTGAGCTGTGACATCATAGCACTCTACCCAGGGCAACATAGTGAGACTCTGTCTCAAAAAAAAAAAGAAAAAAAGATAGGGCCAACCAAAGCTATTTATTTTCTCCTGTTTGACCAGCAGATAAGTAAGGAGCTGGTTAAGCATGACCCACTTCCTTCCACAGTGAATGCCATAGAGAAACTTTAAAATACATTCTTGCCTGAACTTTGCCACCAGCCAGTCACATCAGGTTCTTTATGGGTGAGGCCTGGAGATCACTAGTTTTATAAAGCTTGCCAAGGGCTTCCAACAGGCCGTAGGCAGGAAGAACCAAGAGGAAATCCGGACACAGAATGCCTGAGTCACTACTGTGACCTCTGTGGATTGCAACAGGACATAAGTGTTCAGTTTGAGAAGTAAACTTTGAGTACATTATGGGCACTTAACGCATGTTGACTAGTTTAATCTTGAGAACACAGACCTTTCAGGGAGGTGCTATCCTAGGAGATCAAGGATCACAGAGACTTGTTTAATGACAGGATTTGAGTCCAAGTCTGTCACTCCCTAACCTGTGCTGCATGCTCCCTTCCAGGAATGGGGTGGATGGCATCTGATGTGTGATCCATATTTTGATAGGCTTATTCCAACCCAGGACATCTGTGATTCCAGGATAGGTGAAAATTACAAGTTCCTGAATACCTATGAAATGACTGCCTGTTAGCTGGTTGGAGCAATGAGTTTAACCCTATTCCAATCGTTTAATGATTACTCCCCATTAACAAAAATTTTTAAAAAAGTTTCTCAAGACCAGCCAATCAAATCCATGGCCTTCTGACTCCAGTGAAGTCCACCAATCAATAGTTGCTTCACTCCAGAAGGTCCCCCAATCACCAGCGAGACTCCAGGGCTCCTGAATGCTAGCCAATCAATGACAGTGCAATTGGAGTAACTGCACATCCACAGTTCAGGGTCAACCAATCCCTAAACACATTAGCTTCCGAAACTGTAGGAAGACTGGAAGCAGCACTTTCTAAACCCTTAGGAATCTCAGTTCTCAGCACAAGAGACCAAGCAGCCTACCTCCCCTCAGTGAGGGAGAAACCTGCTCAGTTTCTTGGTCTGAGCTTGAGTCCTGGCCATGTGCATGCAAGCTCCTCTTGCACGCAGGTGCAGAGCTGCTGTCCTCGGCAACCCCAAGTCAAATGGGAAAGAGCACCCATCTCTCTTCACATAGACATCTGATCTTCCTTATCTTTGCCAACACAGGTTGAAGCAGCCAGCTGGAAGCCCATTCTGGAGGCCATGAACGTTTGGGCATGAGTTGAGGCTGCACCCTGAGGCCTTAGGAGGCTGTTTCCAAGGAGCCCAACAGGATCATGTAGTTACTTTCAGTTAAGACTAATTTGCTATGGTGCCAGATGGATTAGAACTGGAGGAGATTGGAGATTAGCCATTATACCATGATACAAATCACACACAAACTGACAAATTTCCAACATGGAAAAGTACATTCTAACTAAATTGACTACTGAAATTTTAAGTCAGAGGTGATATTCTGATTTAGTCTTAGAGTCATAGAGAGAGGTCTGATCTGAAGAATAATGTACATTTATTTTTAGTTTAGCAGTCCAAGGAAACCTAATTTTTGCCTTCATTAACTACAGCTAGTTAAGTTTCTCACCCAGGAAATTTTCTAGCCCACAAAATTTGATACTAAATAGTGGGACCACTTCTCGTACGCCATGTGATTGCTCTAGAACAGAACTTAGCAAAGAAGCCCCTTATGCTGAAAAAACAGTTCTCAGAGGACTTCATGATTTAGGCTGCTTTTTCAAGTCTTAGGATTTAAAAAACAAATAGAACAGGTACAAAAACTTTCTTGAAGCTAGAGTTTTCACTAACCCCTAAAATAACAGCAATCCTATTCTTGGACTCTATTTTCTTAAAAACAGTACTATTAACTGCACTTTACTGGTTACATACTCCTCCCACACATTCAAATATGGTCAAGATATTTCTAGAGAGGTCATGGGGACCCAGCTGACTCACTTGGTCTTAGCAGCAAATAGAAAATAGGAGGTTAGTGTCTGGGATTCTAAGCTTAGCCGAACCATTTGGGAGTCCACATTGGACTTCAACTTATTTTGTAAAATGGGAGTAACAACACTTCCTTCACAAGGTACTTGTGATGCTCAGGAGAAGCATGATAATGAGTTTGGGGGGGGGGGTTTGGTATGATACAGACATGGGCTGGAGTCCTGCGAGGCCACCTTGCCTCTTCCACAACCTAGGTAGGGGAAGAACAATATCTCACTTAGGAGCTTGTCAGGAACACCCCGAGGCCTGCTGCCCAGCTCAAGA